TTTTTGAGAGGGAGAGTACACACAAGTGGCAGAAGGGGCAGAGGGAGAGAATCTTCCAGCAGACTCCCCACTGAGTGTGGAGACCGCCCCTGAGAGCATGACCTGAGCTGAAACCAATGGACTGAACTACTCGGGTGCCCCTGTTCTAATAGTTTTAATGAAAGTCTCAGGATTGAATCTCTCGAGATTCTCATGTAGGTCACATGACCTTCGTTGAATACATCACAGTGATCAGGGAAAGGTCATACACCAAGATTGCCTGAGATGGGGAAATGTGGTTTTCCCAAGTTAGATCATGATGTCACCATTGGAAAATGGGAGAATAAATTAGTTCCCCCCCATACATAATTTTAATTTGTTCCTACCTTTATGAATTATTCCCAATTTCATCTGCTTTCTTTTTCTACATGAACATGCATTCTCTTTCCTCTGTAGCAAGCTTGTACATTTTAGCATCCCCCAGGTCATCACTACATTATCCATGCAAGCAGGTGGGAGCAGTAAGAGACCAGTGGAAAGAACAAACCTTAAACCCTATTCATGCCAGAGCCAAGGGTTTTGTCTGACATCTTCCAGAGCCTTTGCCAAAGCCTACCTAATTCTGATGGATGATGTTTACCATACCATTGCTTTCCAAGCTTCAGTTCACTTTAGGCTGCCAAGTGATTTTGGAAAACTCCTCAAGGAAAGTTTTGTAAACATAATAGAGGCTGAGACCTTTTCTTGTGCTATCCAACTCGTTTAGCCTAACATTTTCTTCTCTACCGTTGACCCGAAGTTCTCTTTAGTAAAACATCGTGACAGTCAAAATTTTTTTCATACAGAAAGAAGTTCCCAAGTACTTTGTTCTTATATCAAGTGGAATTGAAATCAATGCCCTACACTGTTGTTTTTGCCAAAACAATGGTGAGTTACACCAGTGGTCAGAGTGCCTTTTCTAATGGCCAAGAAAGATCTAGAATGATTCACCCACGCAGGATATGGGTAGCTCTCAAGGAATGAGGAACACAATACTAGAATAAATTTCCCCAACGCAAAAGATATATTATGTTGTCCCATAATTAGCCTGAGTGCAATATTCAGGAATAGGGGTTTGTTTTTAATTCAGAACCTCTCTTTTGGTAACTTTATTAAATGATGTCTGAAAAAACTCCATTATGTCAATGTAATTAAAAACTCACTTGAAAATGAGTAAAGCCCTCAAGAAGTTTTTAAGTATTTTTAGATTCACGTGTCAGTTGTTTTATTTTAAAGCTGCAGGGTATTTTTTTTTGATTTTTACTTTTCTTAATTTATTGTTAATTAAAAACAAAATGAACCATAAGCGCAAAATCTACATTGTAGCCAGCATAGACTCCCACGAGGCTTGTTGTCTTGGACATTCTGATGTGTTTTTTCCTTTGAGGAGTTTGGGTGTTATGTGGTCAGCACTATCCAAACAATTAATGTAATAGAGTAAAAATGTCCCTTCAGCAGAAATAGCTCCTTCTGAGATGAGTCTAAACTGCCTTTAGATTGACGAAGAGTTATGTAAGACCATTTCTGTCCAAAATGATTGGGCCGAATTCCAGATTTCTCTAATGAAACTTTGCTGAATAACTGCTACGTTGCAGCTGTGGAAATATTCAAACTCAAGTGTTGATTCTTGCTACTTGATCAACTACTTTAGAACTAGGTTCCTGAAAGCTAGACCCAAGTATTTGTTCAGAGAAGTTAGTCGTATAGGAATTTACTTTTGATGGTTAAGTGGGCGGTCACTTGGGATGTGAGCATTTTAGTTGTTAAGGCCTTTGTTGAAGGAGATCTGTCTGATAGTATGGATTTTTCCAGTGGCTTTGGTAAGTAATGGTATCTTAAACAATTTAGAAGATCTTTTATGAATTGGGAATAAAGGGTACCTGTATCTTCTTAACTTCTCTGAAATAATCTGAAAACTTCAGTTTCAGGTCTAAATGTTTTTCTTGTAATCTTGCACTGTAAAATACTTTTTTTTTACCTGTCTCCAAGAAGTTTGCAGTCGAGCAACTCTGATGGCCTAATCTGAGGAGAATACGTGATTGACAAGCATAAAGCTTTATAAGAAAAGTATATTTGTTAACCTTGTGAGAGGAATGATTTAATTTTGTGGTTTTCATTTCTGAGTGCAAACAATGCATCATCAACTTTAAAAAGTAATGCTAGAGAAATATTGTATTAAAAGAGTACTGAGGGGTGCCTGGATGGCTCGGTTGGTTGAGTGTCTGGCTCTTGGTTTCTGCTCAGGTCATGATCTCATGGGTCGAGGGAAGGAGCACCATGTCAGGGTCTGTGTTCAGTGGGGTGTCTGCTTGAAGATTCTATCCCTCTGTCCCTCCCCTGATTCGCACGTGCTTTCTCTGTCAAATAAATAAATAAATCTCAAAAAAAAAAAAAGAATAGTGAAGCTCTGAAGTGAGTATGTCCAAGCTGCCAGAATGTGTATTATTTATGAGTGGTGAGTTGCATATACTTCTACTAGTAAATTATAGTCTTCTAGAGTCTCAGAATTCTCAACTTATGATTCTTCACCTTTTTATTTTAAGCAGAAGAAAGAAAATATTGATATTAAAAAATACCGTTAATTTATATAGAATTAAAAAAAATTACTACCTAATTATTCTTAGTTCTTAGATGCTCCTTTATAACTACATTCAAACTACCCTGTAACTTAATGGCTTAAAAAATAACCATTTTTACCATTCTCATGATTCTTTAACTTGGACTGGGTTCGGCATGCAATCACTTTCCTGGTGGTGTTGGTGGTCACTCACGTGGCTATATTCAGCTGGCAGGCCAGCCGTGGTCTGGCGCTAGGCTCAGTTGGGATGCTTGAATGACTGGGCTTCTGTCTTTTCACATGGTGTTTGAGGCAATCTCTCCAGTGGTTCAACCTCTTACATGGCGGCTCAGGATACTCGAGAGTAGAGGAGTAGAAGTTTCCAGGCCTTTGTAATGCTTGGGCCTGGTATTGGAACTGGGTTGCTTCCATAGCATTTGTTGGTTAAAGGGATTTGATAAGGCCCTCCCAGGTCAAAGGAATAGGATGGCAAGAGGCTATGGTGCTGGGAAACATGGTTTATTGGAGGCCACCAAAGTAACCGTCTCCTGCATTAGCATATATTAATTCATTCAGATGACATGCATTATTGCTCTGTGTTAGCATGGGAAGAGAGAGAAGCAAGCGAAGACTTAGACCCGTATATATTTAACTTGAGGTGCTTTTAAAAAACTCAAAGAAGGCATGTTGGATTAGATCCAGGAGTTTGGATCTCAGAGGAGAGGTCTAGTTCAGAGATTAAATTTGTGATGGATTGTTCGTGACTGAGCCTGTGGACACAAATGGGGTCACTCAGGGAGAGACAACAATGGACTCAAAGAGATAGGGACTTGGGACTGGGCCTTGAGAATTGAACTTTTTAAAGCTTAAGTATAGGAGCTCGAGACTGAGAATGTAGGAGAAATTCAGAATAGTACAATGTTACAGTCATCAAACAGAGAGAGTTTTTAAAGAAGGAGGGATTGAATGGCAATGTTAAATACTACAAAAGGGTCAAATAAGAGGAGCAATGACAAATGCCCATTGCATTTACTGACAAAGAGAAGTTACCTCTCTTGGTAACCTTTCCAAAACTG